GAGAAACCAACTGTGCCCCCCTGGATGTCAGTTTGTGTCCAGGGAGCCTTGTCACCTGGGCTCTTCCATAGTGCTCTCTTTGCATTGCCCTTTTTTCCCAGAACCCCACCCCCCAGCTTCTGGCTGCAGTGGCTTTTCTGAACTTGGATCTCTGTAGGTCAGAAGGTCTGAACAGCCAGCCCTGGTTTGTTTGACTTCCCCTCCCTGTAATTCAGCTGGGAGCTGCCTGCAGACAGCAGCTGGGGCGCCCCGAGGGTAGCCTCTCTGACATCATGGTCCCTCACTGCCCACTGCCCGATGTCCAGTGTCTGAGAACAGTTCCTTAACGTATTTTGTCTGGGTTCTTGTTTAAGGTAGGAGGGTAAACCCTGTTCCCGTGAGTAAAGCAAGTCCTTGACAGTATAGTTTGGGATTAATATTTGAAGGACATTGTCTTCCCTTTTATGTGAGATACGAATATGTGCATGTGTGTGTTTCATTCAGTCAGGAAAAATACAGTCAGTGTGCTCAAATGTATCTGAGTATGAACATGGCAGATGGCTGGCTTTTAAATAGAACCAGTGACAGAACTTGGCCAGGTCCTGAATGTGCCCACCTTGTCCAGTCCCCATGTCTTGGTAGGGCTGTGCCTTTTGCCTAGAATGCTCCCTCACCTCGTTTCCTTTCCTGTCTGCCGGCTTCGGCTTCAGGGCCATCATCTCTCTGCTTCCCCAGGGCCCCCAGATGGAATCCAGATGGCTTCTTTGGGGCTCCCATTATGTCTGCTTAGAGCACATTACAACACATGTCATGTTCCTCTCTCCCACATTTGACATGCATGCTTCAGTGACGTTAATCACAGTCATGTTGTGCACTGTCACCGCTGTCTGTCTCCACGTTATGCCATCACCCTTCACAGATACTTTGGGCCTCCTAAGCAGTGACTCCCTCTTCCCCCCGCCCCTGCCTCCGGTAAGCGCCAGTACCTTGACCTCTTGTAGACAATCCCTGTCAGTGGGACTATACACAATTGTCTCGTCACTGCCTTATTTCACTCAGCATGGTGTTTTCAGGATTCGTCCATGTTGTGACCCGCACCAGGACTCCATTTCTCTTTGTGGCTAGATAGTATTCCATGGTGTGTATGTGCCACGTTCGGTTCTTTCCAGCCACTGGCAGTCACGAGTAGTGCTGCAGTGGGCGTTGGTGTGCATCAGCGACTCCTCCCTGTATCGGGTTCACATGCGTGGAAACAGGAATCCTCTTTAATCGTTCTGCTTTTCTCCTAGCAAATTCCTCATCTACGCCTGTCTGCTGCTGTTTTCTGTGCTGCTGGCCCTTCGTTTGGATGGCATCATTCACTGGAGCTACTGGGCTGTCTTTGCGCCGATATGGCTGTGGAAGTTAATGGTCATTGTTGGTGCCTCGGTCGGAACTGGAGTCTGGGCGCGAAATCCCCAATATCGGTAATACCATTTTATCAAATCCACTGGTTTCTGTTCTGAAAGAGCAATGGCTTGGTTTCTCTCACTTTTATTGATAAAGTAAGGACCATTTTCTCTTTCCCCTCGGGGTTTTCCGTGAAAGGGAAACTGAGTTCCAAGTTTTTAACTATTAAATGCTTGCAGTGCATTTTCCTACAAAAGCAGCATCCTTTCGGGTGGTCAGATTTCTAGGCAGCTCATAGCAGCTATACAATTCAAAATGCACCCAAAAGATAGAACCATTATACCATGCCAGACTTGGGAGGATACAACGATTCTGTTTTTAGGAGAATGTGCTCAGAGTTCTAGCTTTGGGCGTCAGCCCTGAAACTGGAACTTTCCTTGTCCTGATCTAGTCCTAGGCTATCGCGACTGTTGGC